CTATCACGTAATGGTGAATGCCTGTTACGTTGTGGTAAATGCCTATCACATGAATAATGCCTATCATTAAATGGCGAATGCTTATCATGTAATGTTGATTGCCTGTCACTTTGTAGTGAATGCTTATCATATTATCGTGAATCCATATCGTGTAAGGGTGAATGTCTACCATGTTATAGTGAATGCCTATCACGTTGTGGTGATTGCCTGTCATGTTGCGGTGAATGACTATCACGTTGTGGTAAATGCCTATCATCTAGTGAAAATGAGTAGGATAAGACAGTCATGGCATTCCATAAAATTGGCTACCTTACATTGTCATACGTTTTATTCTTCGTTTTCACAACTGTTATGTATTCCATTGGTGTGACATCTAAGTCTTATTTATAGCACTTAAAACAAATTTTGTTATGTTCAATTTGAACAATTTATGTTTTAATCATTGCATTACTTTATATGGAAATACATTTAACATAAGCAAGCTGATTAAAGCTTGCATCAAAGTTAACAATGCAGTGTTCATTCTTGTTTCAATAAATGGATAAAAATAGCTTAAAACTGCCTCGGGTAAATATATGCCAACTGTTCTATAATGTATAAAAAGTGAGCGATATGCATACACTACAGTTCCATATATAATTAACAGGTTTAACATTCTTATGTTGTCATCAGTATTCAATACCCACTGACAGAAATAATTTAGTAGGAATCCGAGTCAAAATGCAATCTTCAAAATCAAGTTGAGAAGACTTGTTCATTGCTGAGAAAGTTGGTATGACTTGAGGCACAAACAAAAATGTTGTGATTTCCTTCATATTTACACTTATTTTGTTTAGAAATGTGAATTTCATAATTCCATAGCTATAAGTAAGGTGTTTTTCAATATATGATTTCCTGTTGAGTTAATGAAGCGACGGTGAATTAGCAAAACTAGTCGCGTATTACGTAATTGCAGTTTTGTTAGAACTACCTTGAATATATATTTGCAGTGAGTCAACTTTCAACTTTGAGAGCGAATTTCGATATATATGATATAATATAGCATTTAATAAAATAAAATAAAATAAATGTACCTCTGATTGTCACCGCGTCCTATTTTTCATTGTTGTTACCTGTACTGCTTGACACAGAAATGGAGTGTGTTTGTTAGTGGCCGTGGTACTGTCTAATTACCCAATATATTGTCTAATATAAAGATATATGCTCTTTTGATAGCGTTCAGTTAAGACCACATTGTATTTGTTTTGTCATCTGTATTCACAAAAATGAAATAAATAATAAACAGATGTTATATCTGTTGTACGCCCCAGGCCTGAAAATTGGCAGAATATCTCTTCTTTTTGTCGTTGTGTTGAGTGTGCAGTCGACCACGGGAGTGTAAAACTCGCACTACTCCGTGTTTGCTGGTCACGCTCGCCATAATGTCACATATCGGGGTAGACAATTTAGTTTCTCCTGGGTCCAGTAATTGCAAAGAAAAACAACAAACGTTTTCTAGCATTCTTGGAAGTTGTTTTGTGCAGTCATCGGCACACGGACTACCAAACATAAGTCGTGCTGGAAACGCTCCACGCCGTTCGTTATGGATTATATCACTTGGAGGAACGGTAGCTATATTTTGTCTAATCAGCGCAACATTAATCGTTCGATATTTTGATTATGACGTGAATGTTTCAGTGGCCATGCAGTTTAGTCGCGAGTTAACGTTCCCGGCTGTTACAATCTGCAACCTCAATCCGCTGAGAAAGTCGAAAACCCAAATGGACGGGCCATCAGACCCTGGGCAGCAGCGGGCGGAAGAGGCTGAGAGAAATTCGCAGACATCACAAGGTACGAACATAAAAACTGAAACAACACAGCACCCGAATCATATAGCGGTTTCCGAAGACATACAACGTAACCCATTTACACAGGTGCCGACAACAACAAAGATTTACGAAAACCGACAATATAGTCGCTTTACACACCAAACGTATCATGTTGAACAGGACCAGCAGTCAATTTATACACATGAAAATAATACAGATGGTCAATCGTTAGATGTTACAAACTCAGATTGGAATGGACGTACGTTAGATGATACGGTTACGAATTCGGAGGAAAACGGACGTCCGCCACCTGAAACTAGTACAGGGGGTGCTCCAGAACTAGTAAATGTATTATTGAATGAGACCAACGATACTGAGGCAGAAGTCTATGACGATGCGACCGGCGATACTGAAGCAGAAGTCGATGACGACGCGACCGGCGATACTGAAGCAGAAGTCGATGACGATGAGACCAGCGATACTGAAGCAAAAGTCGATGACGATGAGACCGGCGATACTGAAGCAGAAGTCGATGACGACAGTGAGGTGACGATATTATTATTCGATGGACGTAATTGTGTACAAATAAAATAGAAGAAAATATTTTGTTAAAACAGGTGACAACATCGGAAAGCAACAAATAGTTATTCAGCCAGATGGTAGCGTGTATACGCCTTATCTCGAAGCATTATTGTGTATTTAATGAATATGTACCCATTACAATGAATTTACATGTTCTAGACAAAAAAACGTAATCTAACACTGTGTTTTTTGTAATCATTTACTGTCACCGCCATATTATCTCGAATACCAAAGACAGTAACATTGCCAGCTAAGTTGCTGACTGGTTTGGAGATGCTGAATTGTTCGAGTTACGGAAATGACCACGCCCAAATTTTCGACACCAGGTCAACTTTTGCAAGACTATGCCCAAATTTTAACTCACTGTTTAATTAACAGTTAACCCAAAAAATAACAAAAAAGAACTTCGAGTTACGGGCACTATAAATTGCTATTGTTGTTTAACCATGTGCAGACGGACGATGCTAAAGTGTGCGCGTGGTCGTTTTTGTAACTCGATGTCTTTAACGACGCACCTTCTTGAGTCGCTTATAGCAAACGAGTCAGCAGCTTGGTTGGCAATGGTGGTGACAGTAACTCATTTTTACTGAAAAGCTAGTTGACGGACAATGTTCTAAATACGTAATTTTAATTTTTGGTGTTGCACTTTTAGTTGCCAGGTTTCCCCAACTGACAAGTTACCATGTTACTTTCAGTTGCCAGGATACCTGCAGTTGCCAAGTTACTTTTAGTTGCCGTGTTGATTTTGGTTGCTATGGTATCCCAGGTTGTCATGCTTTAGTTATCGTGCCAATTTTAGTTGTCATGTTAATTTTAGGTGCCAGATTATCCAAAATAGTACAGATAAAAAGCATCAGTGTGATCGTTAACCAATTCTTTCTAGGCATCCGAATGGGATTACTTCGATTGGGATGATTTAGATACAAAAACAGAGTTCTACAATGAACCAACACAATACTGGAACAAATCAGCTTCATTAAACCAATGGTTAGCCAGTATGCCAACTCAGCAAAAAGAAGAATGGGGACATCAACTTAAAGATTTTCTGCTGGATTGTCAATGGAATGACGTCATGTGTTCTCCTAAGTATGTCAAAACGACCCTTTCCACTCACTCGTTTTTCGCTGTTCTTAATTACAATACCGTATTCTGGGATGTACTGTAGTACATGTGATAATAATTTTAACATTCACATTTTGGAATAACACATAATGCACGATGTTAAGTTGGAGAAAGTTAATGTTAGTGTTGATAACACTGATTTTGAATATTAATTCGGAAATTTGACCCCATTGTCTTCTAAACAGGCTGACGATCTAAAGCGTATTGATGTCATGATTAGAGCTGATCGCGTTCAATATCACCACATTTTTTAATTTCACAGGAATTTTACAAAGTTTGTCAGTTCGAGATATGGAAACTGTTATACATTCAACTCTGGTGCTAACAATTCCACTGTCGTAAAAACCAACTATGCCGGACCATATTATGGTAGGATAGTTATAAATAAATAACTTATAGTTGTACAAAGAAAACCTGTATTTCCCACAACAAATGAAATAATATTTACCCTTAGTGTTTTACTGATGTATTTGTGTTGAACAGTTCATGATAATTATATTGAAACTATGGTATTATTTCTTTCCATGAAGGCATACACAATTGATTAACTTGCTCAACGTCTACATAAGAATGTTTCTAGTAATTTATATTGGAAAATAATTTTGTTACATGTCATATCTTCTTACAACATTCTTGGTCGGCATTTATTAATATCACACGGGCATACTTAGAGAGGGTAGTCATCATTTATGTGTTTATCTTTCATTTCATTTATTCACCAAAAGTATATTTGATTCAATAATAACAATATTTGTATAGAGTATGTAGTTCCTAGTGGGACCGTATCTAACAATAGTGTGGGGATGAAGCCCCTCAGGCTGTTCGCTAATATCCTCAAACTCATTGCCAAATTCAAGATAAAAATGGTTGGATAGATGAGTTGGGTGGTAAAGATCGTCATTTATGTGGTTATATGGTGAATGAATGACTGAATGAATGAAGGCCGTATATAGTCAGAATCGTCGTAGTCGTAGTCGGTGCAGCGGGTACTTTATGACCAGGGTTGGCAGAAACCAAATGTCTGCATTGCTTCATCCCTTTAGCTATGTGGTAACCTCCTCCACATATCTAGGCATTGCTGGCCTCGCGATAACCACATCCTGCCCAGTAATGTCAATACATTGTCGAACAACATATAAGAGACATGGTGACAATGATTCTTAGGCGGTTGTCTAAGTAAAATTCCTTTAGAGCTAAAGAAGTAGAGATAGTTTTGGACTTAGGTTGTGTTCGTTCCATCTGGTTTTAACAGCTTTCAACAACTAAGTCCATTAGTGTAGAATACAGACGAGGTGGGGTTACTGCACCCAGGGCCTTATTAATTTCACATTGGAGTGGCGGTAACGTAAGCTTGTTTAAGGTAAGTGGTAAAATGTTGTAATAGTGTGATGGTCATCTCACTGACAGGTTATAGAAGTAACTACAATCGACCGTGTAATGATACTGAGCCGTTATCACTCCGCTCCCCGGTGATATGATATGTTATATATCTCGACGGACTCAGAAAGTGAAACTTTCGACAGCTCATTATTTCTTGAAAAGACTGCGCCACGCCCATCTGTGAATAATGCTGCAGAGACAAGGTTACAATGATAATGTAGGCAGTGAAAATATGTCCTTAACTGCCCTCATTCACCTGCTCATCAGCAAGTTGCATTAGACATGTGACACTCTGGATCGATCTAACACACCTTCAAGCTGGTAGTTTGTCATATCACTGTGAACAGATAGACGAATGGCACTCGAGTCCGGGGTGACTGAGTAAAGCACAAGTCTTTGCACATCGTGTTCAGAAAACCTAACGTGTATTCATGGTTGATTACGCCCTAGAAAGTTGAAGATTCAAGATCTGGTGAATAAATCAAATGCTAGATATGTGCTCGAACGATTATCCTCTTACAGCATGTCCAGGTTGTATGTCTTAATTCATGACGCTGAGATATGTTCTCATACCTCACTTCCATAATTAGCATTTGGTAGAACTTTTGCATAAACATTTTAATACACGATTAAATCATATGAAATTACAAACATTGTCTCCGTAGAATAATACACAAATCGACAGTCATACATAGATGTCTGTAATGCACGACTGGAAATTGGAGGTTGGCTATCGTAATCCTTCAGTAATTTTTCAAACTCACCCGGTTTATTTTGAATATTTACGAAGATTACTACTTTCTATATGTCATATTTATCGCCCATAGCAACTACTGTTTTTTTATATCGAACATTTAACACGTAAATTTATGTATGCCTGTGCAAATTTAATGTTTTCTGATTATTACAGGCTTAACGCTGGAGTTGTTCATTGAGCAAAACGAATACCTTGATGACTATCCGGACTTTGCTGGTGTGCGGGTCGCTATTCACTCACAGAAAACCATGCCGTTCCCAGAAGATGACGGGTTTAACGTGGAACCAGGTCGAGTAACGTCAGTTGGTATCAGGAGGGTAAACAATACTTTTTTAAGATTTGTTGGACGCCTAATTAACAGTGACGCTGTCTGGTAATGCGTACGTTTATCGGTTTAAACATATTTCCAATTCTGTCCATTGGGTCATATACATCATATACAGTAACCATTAAAGGGTTTTTTTGTTTTGTTTTTGATGATTCTTCAAATCGACAACCATGTTTGGTTTGGTTTGGTTTGGTTATATCGTCGTATATTCACTGGTATTCATTGCAGGACGATGACAGAACAGATATTGCATGCCGTTTTTTAACGTGTCAACATTTATCGAAGAAACATTTTGTTGCAAAACTTGTAATAGATTGGAATCCGTTTGTAATGACAAATACTCACACAATGCCAACAATTAAATTCACAGTCACCTGTTACTCAAAACACGATTGTTATCAAGCCGTGGTATTATATTCTGATTCTTGTATTCAATTGATGAATATAATAACACATTATTAATTACCGTAGGTGGAAGTAACACGATTACCTCATCCATATACTACGTGTATTAAAGCCGATCACGAGGGTTACGAGAATGCCTACACAGAACGATATGGTGTTTCCTACAGCTTGGAGGTATACCAGTTTATTTATCCACAACGTGAGACGCATGCTGTTTCTACCGTTTGAAAGTATACTTATTGAAAAGCCCCATAATACATACGCATAAATATCTTGGTTTGTCTGACCTGGCATTGCCAAATGTTCAACTTAGTTGTAGAAGTTATCGAATCGGACTATCACAAAATGCATGACATAAATAATCACGTGTTATCGGCCATGTTGAAGTTTGATATACTTATTTTTCTGTAGACATGTATGAAATCGTGTTATCAGAAGCGAGTTGCTGAACGTTGTCGTTGTCTAGATGGAAGATATCCTCCGCCTATCGGTAACGACGATTTGCATATATGTGCATATAGTAACATGTCAGCGTGTAAGTACGGAACTCTTTAAAAATAACTTTTATTGCCCGGGTATTTTGAAATTTGTTTTTCAGTTCACAAATATTAGTTTAAGATTTATGCTCATTTTGAAAAGTAAATTGACATAAATTGAAATTTTTAAAATTTTCAGAAAACGGGAAACAATAACATCAATATAATATTACCTTTGAAAATCTCACATATAGTAAGTTTCTATACTGTATGACAAGATCTAATACCCTACCAACAAAACTACTATACACTGCTTTGGATTGTATTGTAACCAGAGACTTAAATATTACAATGCCACTAATAATGCAATTAGCAGTGTTATTAAGTTCCCGTGCTTTGCTACAGTAGAAATATAAGTAAATGTCCAAATTGCATCAATATATTTAAAATTACTTCCATACATGGTTTTAAAAATTGCTAACAAAAGACTTGAACATTTTAATATACTAAACTATTATGAAAACATATCTTTAATGATATTTCTATTTTAGATACTTGCCTTAGTAATGTGGGCGATGAATACCGTTCTTATGATCTATCAATGAATTGTGATTGTCCCCAGCCTTGTCAGTAAGTGTTCATGAATTCAGACATTCCCAAGTCATACAAACATGTCTTTCAGGTGTCGCACCAGTACATACTACGATGA